CTGCAAATGAAAATTTTGACTAAAAAATTGCAACACTTGTTTTTTAATATAGTACTAATATGTAATTAATTTTTTAATTATTTAAGTTGTTGAGTTCTTTTTCTCTTCTCTTCTAAAATTGAATATTATTTTTTCACTAATTTCAGATATTTTTGCATTGAATATAGAAACTGAAAACGATGTACAATTGCGGACACGGAATTTTGTCATTCGGTTGACATCAAAATCTAATGTGCAACTAACTTCAATTTCGGTTTTTGTAATGTTTATCCTGACAGCTAAAAAATAAATCAAAATAATTTATTCAATTATATAAAAACACGTGCTGCTGTCATTATTGTTTCGGGAAATTGACGCCAAAAATAAATATCAACTAAAATTTTTCAAACGTTAATCATCGACAATAAAGCGTGGCTTACATTGATATTTTTTAACTGACATAATTTGATGTCTAAAATTCCGTGTCCGCAATTGTACATATTTTCTTACAATAAAAAAACCTGATCTCAAAATATCTTACATACTCAAAAAATGACGTACCAACTCAATGGTGATATGTAGTGAAAAAATGATGCTCACATATAAAGAAAAAAATAATTGAAAAATTATTTCTATAACAGTTAATGGTAAAAACGTAAATTGGATGTGGCTAATTTTCTCAATTTTCAGCATTAAAATCTTAATTACTCAAAACCTTTCAACTTTTACATTATTCAATTTTCACAGTTAAAAATCAAAGACATCCAAGAATTTTATCATGTAGAAAAGATTCCAATTAATTAAAAAAAAATCCAAATTCAGTTTTTGGGGCTCACTGACATATGCTAAAACATCAAATTAAAGTCTATATTTTTTTTAATCAATAGAAATATTTATTTTTGCGCCAGCCTTTAGAAACTTTAGAATTAATTATTTAATTTTTTCATGTTTTTTCTTATCATCTTGTAAAAAGTTATTGAATCGCCACTTTTTGAACGTCTTGTATTATTCAGTAAATTCTTTTCAGATGGTATTTTACTTGAAAACAATTTTAAAAACACAGAAGGTGAATTGAAAGTCTGTTTTATATTAATTTGTTTTCTTGGGTATGTTTTTTAGTTTTTAATTATTAAAACCGATTAACACTACTGTTATTTTATGCAGTACTGTATATTATGTACTGATAAGTATGTACTTATTTTGAGTAATTTCAAAACATTTTCTACAAGTATCCAAAACTGAGAAAAATCAATTTGTATTTTTTTAATTAACAAAGACGAATGCAGATTTTGCAAATGTAAGAATTTTATTTATTTCTAATTTTTGTTTATAAATAATGAAAAGAGTTAGACTCAAGGCTTTTGAATCTATCTACTAATTTATCTGTGGCTTTTTAGCAGTAAGTATTAATTTTTGGCGAAGTAAAACTTATTTTCTTCTACTGGTAGTTCCTTATTGTTGGTAATAAATATCTAAAATAATGTGTGTATTTATGTAGTATCTAATTACTTAGCGCCTGAACATCCATAAATATTGTTTTGTTGTGATCCCGGCTTCGGAAGCTGCCACATGATTTGCATTGTGTAATAGCTGTCGTTATCGAGTAGTGTATTGCCGTAAGTAAGCAATAAATCGAAAGATCCGATCCTTAACTTCATAACTCGCTTCTTATTTAAAAATCAAACTATTCTCCACCTGCTACACACAAAAATCTGATGCCCCTTAAAACAACATCGACAAAAAACTTCATCCACCGGTAATTCTAATTTAAAAATTTAAATGAGCCACGTGTCCTAAGTAAGTGTAAGTATTAGACGCACATGTTATCTAATTGTTTTTCTTTTCTTTTAACTAAACGCAACGACTCAACCCTTGATTAATTATTTACTCGAGAAAATTAGGACCACACACCGTTTTTATTTAATTAACCCTCCTGAATTTAATTAATGTGAAATTGTGTTTTTTTTACAAAAATTAGATGATTTTCAAGGGTTGTTTCAGGTAAAAATAACTTTGATTGAGATAATAGTGAAGGGGTTAATATTTTGTTATTAAAGCGACAAATTGTACAAATTTAGTCATCAAAAAAAAAAAAACAAATAAAATGCGTGGGGTATAATGTCAGGGATCTAATAAGCAGGTGATGCGTTATATACATATGCGTTCACTAAAAAAAGTTCACCTGTGCTCTGGTGCGTTACAACTGAAGAATCGTAAATGACATACTTTATTAAACTAATTATCAGTTTTATGGATTTTTAACCCTCCTTAAAAATTCCAAACATAAAATGGCAAAACAACTTTATTAAGCTCGTTAATTTACATATTCGGTAGCCCCTAAACACCTGACCCCTGATCATATATTTTTCTTGTTAAGGGATGAAAGGGTTTGTTTTGATTTTAAATGTCGGCTTTGTTCCGGATTATCATTTAATTAAATTTCGGGGTGTCAGCGCGATAAAAATAGCTACAAGACAATCTATTAAACTGTTTCCTGTTGTCTTAGATCAAATTTGAATATTTTATCTATTTTTGATCATTGTAGCATCTGCCTGCATCATTCATATTTGGACTATATATTATCAAAAGTGTTTATCTTGATCAGAGGTGTGTAGGAAGTAATTTTTTTAAATATCTCATATTTCGAAGGTGTATAATTTACGACTGCAGATTGCAAAAAGAAATACAGAGACCCGCATAGCAGCAACAATCTTGTAAATGAAAATACAGAGTTCCGCAAAGCAATTAAAATAATTTAAGGCAAGTAGCAAATGTACAAATTACACTTCTCACACAGACAAACAAATAAATTATTGAAAAATTAGATAAATGTATTTGCGTGTCATTGTGGTGTAATTATTGAAATCTCTTAACAATCATTGCGAGCCCTCCAGCAAATCGTTTGACCATTCGTTGGGAATATTTTGTATGGAATTGAAAATTATCTATATCTGTTTCGCAGGAAACGGCGGATTTATCGCTTCTGTACACCGTGTAATCTCTAGCTTTGAATTACTGTTGCAGGAGGTTTTTTAATTGATTAGCTATCCTTGACGGTTTCTATTTAAATAAGTGTAAATGCACGCGATGATTTGTCAGATTGAAAGTGAAAGATGGTGGAAGATAAAAAAAAGAAAAAAAAAGGCTTTATTAATTAATTAGAGAAGTGAAATCATTTTATCTCATAGAATCTAATACGTTTTCAGTGAACTGGGCTGTAAAATGGCAGATGTTGCAAAATTTTTTAACAACTGTTCAACTATATATTTTTTTCACAGAAAAAAAGGGATTTTTGCAGCTAATTAGGTAATATACCAAAAATGGAACCAGGCCCGTAGCTAGAAACAATTTTTAGGTAGACATGACAACTGACATTTTTATTCACTGTTTAAAATAGCACACATCTTTATCTTTTTGGTAATAAGAAAAAAAAAAGAAAAAAATTAAACTAAAACTTAAAAAAAATAATTTAAAGAAATAAATAAATATTGACAATTAAACACAAAAGGCTTTGTTTTTTGTTATTGCCTTATTTTATAAGGGGCAATTGTTTTTTGTATATTTTTTTAAATAATTAGCATAAAAACACTTAATATGAAACCTAAACACGAAAAATACAAACAAAAACAATCACCCCGTATAAAATAAAGCAAGAACAAGAAGATCAAGCTCTTTGTATAAAACTGTCTACAACTTTTTTAAGTTTTTTAATTTTATTGTCTTCTTTTTTGCATTTTTTTTGCTTTATTTTTTTGAGTTTTTATGCTTACCAGAAAGATATCGATGTGTACCTACTAACGGTAATAAAAATGTCAATTGGCATTAAGAAAATTAAAAATGGCGTCTTTAATAACAAAGGTACGAGTTTTGTGCGTGACTTTTGGTTCAGTTTGTATTATAATTTTATGCATTATTATTTCTAAAGAAAGTTGTTAAAAAAGACAAAGTTTTAAAGTGGGGCTCAGAATATTCAAACTAAGGCTCTATAATAAACCTTTTCTTAAATTATTTTTTGTGAAAATAACAGGTCAAATATTGTTTATAAAGTTTATAAATCTTGTCATTTAGTCAAAAATAGTAAATTAAAATTTTTTTTAAACTTTTTTTTATATTCATCAGAATAAATAATTTTAACTTAATCTCTTTGTATTTAATCGAAAAGTAATTCACAAGTTCAAAACCGATACCAACAGCTTATAGAAAATGTTAATTTGAAATTTTTGTTTTTTTTTTAAATTTATGCAAAATTATAAACTCCGAAAACTTTTAAGTTTGATACTGCTAAAAAAATTTTTAGAATTCCTAACAAAAAGATGTTAATTTTACGATGCATAGCCTTAAGTAAATTCTAATTTTTTTCAAAATAATGTCTATTTTTATTGTTGTCTGATATTAACTTCCAAATTACTTAATACAAAAATCAATTACTTATTTCCTAAATAATTATGATTTCACAGTATTTTTTCTTGGAATTTAAACACACTGTGAGCGACACCTAGTAGCTAGTAGTAAATGTAGCGTAGCGAACCGACAAACCATAAGCAGTTCTTTGCAAGTAGTTTCAAGAGATCCTATGTTCACGTAACCTTCTAATTTTAATACAAATTGTTTACAACCACCAAATTATTACTATTTGTAGATTATTAAATAAAAAGTAATATTTTTATGCTACACAACTTTTGTATAATATACCTACATATGTTACCCATCTGCCTACTTCCTGAAACACATCTTAAAATAATGTCTCTATCGAATTTAAGTAGATTAAGTTAGAGAAATCGCAAAAATCGTTGAGTGGAATATTATTAGGGATTTGATCTCAAATATGCCTTATAATCTAGAAATTCATTTAAATTCGCAATGCCATTGAATGAAGGAATAATTTATTTCTTTTTAAAGCAGATTGATTAATCTTGTAAGCTTGAGTAGTTTTATGCGGATTTAAGAATTTTGCAATTTCAGTTCTAAATCGCCCGATTAATTGTGGGAATTATTCGAAATTCGGAAAGTAAAATAAAATCAATGATGCAAAAATTTATTGCAGTTTACAAGCGATTCCATTTATAGTAACGTCCGCTTTTGAAACTCCTCGTGTCACTTTGATATTTCTTGCCTCGAATTCGTCGATAATGGCCTTCAATGTCTTACAGACAAAATCATTTATACTAAGTTTTATTGTTTTCAGCGACTTCAAGTTATTTATAAGATTGGCAGCGTTTAAATTCGACAGATAGTTGTCTTTCAGATTAATTTCCTGAAGCTTGTTCAAACCCTTGAATGCATCGTCTTGAACGTACCGAATTTTATTACTTTCCAAACTTAAAACTTCCAAAGAATTTAACTTTGTGAAAACGTTCGACTCGATAGACTTGATTTTATTATTAGACAAATCTATTTTTTTAACTTTGACTAAAACGGCGATGCTTTCAGGAACACTTTCTAACTGATTGAACGACAGGACAATTTCTTCCAAGTTTATGAGATCGCTAAAAGCGCTCCTTTCTATGGTTTTAATTTTATTCGCTCCTAAATCAAGCATTTTCAGATTGGTGCAGTCGCGAAACACTCCATTAACGATGACTTCTAAACTATTGTGATTCAGGATCAGTTGATTCAGTTTTGGTAAACCTTCGAACGACCCAGGCTCTAACTTTTTAATTGTGTTAAAACTTAAGTAAAGACTGCTGACTTCGGGTAACAACCGAAATGTCCCTGACGGGATCTCCTCAATATTAGCTCCCTTGAACTGCACAAAGTTTCGATAAGAATTCAACTTCACAGGATGTCCACGGGAAAAATTTGCAGTGTCGCATTCGGTTGTTGCTACGGTTAAAATGCATTTTTGAGACGAGGAACCAAAGTAGCACACAAGCAGCACAAACAGCAGGAGAATATTCTAAAACAAAAATTTCAATAACTGATTTTGAGCAAACAAATGATTACCATTTTATAATATTAATCAGAGTCAAATAGTTATAAACACAGGATTTATCGCTAAATAATTGTGTTATCAGTGTTGACCCACGTCTGAATTACATAAATAAACGTTAAATATTTATTGATGCAATTACAAATACAGGGTGCGATAGAACTCGCGCCCCGGAAAAAAAATTCAAGTAAGGTAAGTTACCAGGAACGTTTAAAAAATTCTGTCAAAAAATTTTGACATTTATTTTTTGACATTTGACATTTCTTAACGATACTGATGATCTTGTATACGTTTTTTACAATTATTTAGTAAAGATACAAAAATTTTTCCAATAAAAGCCACAAACAACATTGAACAGAGTTACTATTTAGAAAACAGCTTCCTTGTTTCCTCTTTTAAGTCTATAGCAAAAAACTTTTATTTTATTTTTTTCTGATTTAAAAAATATATATTTGTAACAAAATATTTTTTATAACTATACTTAAAAAGTGAAATACATATTTTGTGTGATAATAGTTGACCATGGAAAAACTATTTCACTCCAAATGTGTAAATAATAATCAATAAGAGTTTTGTGAACTGTAAAATAGATGAAAATATAGATAAAATTATAAAGATTTAAAAAATACGATACGGTAGAAGCATTGAACAAACATCCGAGCCTCAGAACAAAATTATTACACATTTTTAAAAAATCAAAAAATAGGGAAAACAAATGTGTCAACAGTCAACAGTCAATTAGAAAAAACATTTTTTTGATGATCTAATGGAGGTAGGATAACGTTTCACATAGACGGAATTTGGGTATTTGAATAGCCATATCGTCATTTTTGTGTCATATAAAATATATTTTATTGAAGAATTGAAGCGGCTTTTTTTACAACACTCTATGCATCACTAGAAGTTGCAATGGTAATGATAGCTTGTTTAAAAACAAAGAAATGTTATTAGTCGCCAATAAGTTGATATACAATTTATTTTGCATCTTTTTCATCACTTAGTACTTAGAAAACTCTTTCATTAGTGACACTGGTTGAATATAATATAGTTTAAATCCTTTTAGTTGAAGATGCAACATTTTTTCATGGCCAACTGCAAACAAAAATCAAAGATAATTTTTTGCTAAAAATGTATTATAATAATTTGTTACAAATATATATTTTTTTAGATAAGAAAAAAACAAGCTTTTTAAAAATGACATAGCCATGATTCCCATTTAAAAAAATACAAGTTTATTTTATTACAGCTAAACAAACAAGTGAAAAAAATTGTTAACTACATTATTAAATTCTATGTAAAAAAGTGTCCTTATTTCAAATCTGTGTCTTCTATAATAACGAAGATATAAATTTTTTTAGATTTCGCTAAAATGTCAATTTTTGTCTATAAGTCGAAAACAAAAGACGATAGCGGGATGCGGTTTTAACCAATATTATTTTCTCAAAAAATGAGCCACAGAATGTATTACTCGTTTTTGGCTAAACCTCTTAGTTTCGGAGATTCCCTATTCGGACATCCAAAATGCAGCACCCTGTACATTCAGAAGCATTTAGAGATAATTTTCAAAGATTTAGTGTGTTACTACTTATCAGAATTTTTTCTAATATGTTTGTTTGATCAAAAAGCATTACGAATGTTAATTTAAAGACTTACTAGTAACTTTAAGCTATTAATTATCCTAAAAAAATTACTCAAAAATTAAGCAATACAGAAATTTACCACTTTGTTACTCCAACAATTTGCTTTCGCAGTAGGTATGTGTGGTAGAACTTTGTAGTTTTAACTTATCAGGTCTTTGAAAACAATCATGTTACTTTGCTGTTGTTAAAAAATGTTTTTTCAAAATACATTTATTGCATCTTTATCAAAAATAACTTTTAGAATTGTTGTGTAACGTTAAAAATAATAACGGGTGTTTATTTATACCGGGTGGGGCATTCGTTACGCCCAAAAAGAAAATCCCCACTTCTAATTAAATAAAATTGTTGAATTTTTTCACACTTACCTGGGCATTAGTAAGGTACATTCTCTAATTTTTTGGTTATTTTTCATTCACAAACAAAGCCAAAAAAAAAATAAAAAGTAATTTTCTCCCAAAAAATTTAATTCTAATTTTTATACTGACCTACGCAGATTCACTTCCTATAATTGTTTACAAAATCAGAAAAAAAATACCAATTAGATTTTGAATTAAACGCAATTTTCCATCTTAACTTTGAAAATCATTTTTATTTATGACCTGCTATTTGTGCCATCGTAAATTTAGGTGGTGACAATGGGGAACTGCAGTTTGGGTAAGATTCCAAGGTTTACAACAAAAAGGCCCTTTAAAGCGGTCGGCTACCAGTAAATGATTCTTTTGTTGGCAAATTATACCATTTTGTCATAAATCACGGGTCTGGTTTGTGTTTAAATAAAAAAAAAGAGATTATTTGGCTAACCAAGTCAAAATTTAAAATTGTGATATCAAAGTTTGATGCGCTGACAGGTACAGATTCATTTAGTGTAAAAATGTTATAGGTAAATTAACAGAAAGTATTCATAAAACACGCAAAACTGTTACGGACTCATTTATTATCCAAAGAAATTAGAAAAATTTTCAAATTATACCCTATCAATAATTAGTTAGGGATATGGAATATCGCCAGTTTTAATTAATTTGAAGTCGCGATTTATCAAGTGCGCGTAACCGATGCCCCACCCGGTATTTGTCGTCAAATCTATCTATGAAAGTTTGATTGTGAACGAACCATCGTATTGAAAGTTATTAATATGACATTTAACACCTCGCCGGGCGTATATCACACTTATATCACCGCCAATTATAACGCCAAATTTAAATAATGTAAATGTAGTCTTTGAATATCGTATTGATAAAGTGATCAATAAAGGAAACCACGAAATTAGTCGACAACACAAAAAGGAAGTTTGTTTGTCTTCAATTCCAATAAATAAACAATAAAGTAAAATAAAAGAACGAAACTAAATTTATAATCTTTTATAATATACAATTAATGAGACTAACAAAAACTTGAATTAATTGAACTACAACACTTAATCTGGAATATCCTACAGGTAACTAACTACCTATGTACTAAAGCTTTTTGTTAAATATTTAACACAATTTTGGTCTTTTTTTGGCATCCATTTGCTTTTTAAAAAGACTTTTTCTATGCAACTATTGCACATTGTGTATTTCTTGACGAGCTGAGTTTTCTGGCGTTGAAAACTTCATAGTTATTGTTCCTATTTCTACATTTTTATATAAAAAATAAGTGATAGCGTATGACATAAGTGAATTTTTATTTTGAATTACGCAAATCATTAAAGATCAGAGCAGTCATTATGGGATTCAAATGTGCATATGCATACGACAGTATAATTCAAATAATTTTTATGTTTACAACATACAACTTTTTTTTCATCATTTTTACAGCTAACTATAAAAAAAATATTTTTTGGATTTTTTTGATGTTGCATTACCAGTTTCACTCTGTTTTTCGAAATTATAATGAGATTTTTAACTAAAAAAAGCAATATGAAAGATATTTATTGTACTTCTGAATTTTACTAAATTTTTTGATAAAACATTCACCTATTTTATAATGGGTTTCGGGCTCAACAAAATTCTAGAGTCGGATGCTTTATTCTCAATGTCGCGATGCTGCAACGTTGTACGATGATAGCATCTTAATAGAGTATAATAAACTTTATCTCTTTACATTTTGAGAGTTTTATGGATCTTTCTTTGAAACAACAAAAATGCTAATGTGCATTTCTACTCTGTTAGATTATTATTGGACCAAAATAGTAGAAATTAAAACTAATAACTCAAAAACTCAGTCTTGTTCTAAAACAGATTTATTTGAAACGATTTTTCTAAAGATGAGCTTTCAGCAGATATGTCTTCCCGGAGATAAAACTTGACATGGGACAAATTTTGTGATTTTTAGGTTAGTGCATCTTTTGTCAAAAGCGTTTCAGAGTTTCCTCTGAAAGGTTTTGGTTTATAAATTGTTCCAGGAAAGATAGTAGGAATTAGGTTTTATAAAATATTGATTTTAATTTTATAATATTATTAAAGCATACATATGGAACCCATACCAAAAATAAAATAAATAAGAGATGTTTTATGTTACGTTTCTAATGTTATGTAGTGTGAACTAAATATACGAGTAGAAGTTTAAATTGGAATAAATAAATGAGAAGAGCTGGAAACCTGTAAACAATATTCCCACATAACTGATTAAAATGAATTGGATTTTAATAACTTTCCTCGAAACAAGATGGAAAATTAGTTGAGCGTAATCCTCGATAAGATTTTCCGGAAACGCTCAAATTTGCATATTTCCCTCTTCAAGTTTGTCAACAACACTTGTCTTTCCGTGATTAACTCGTATTCTAGTCGCTTTAATTTTTTGCTAATTGTACGTCTTGATTACTGTCGGAGGATTAGATAAGTAGCGGCGATTTGTCGTAGGTAAATCGTGGAAATCCCGTATTCGCAACCCTATCTCTTTACGTCTTTAATGGAATACGTAAAGACAAATTAAAATGTAGAAAGGTGAAGATACCGTCTAGATGTCTCTCGTATTTGCAGTCGGGGCATTCTGCATCCTATTATCTATGCAATGCTGAATAAAACATCTACCAAGAGAACGGTTTTCTGTTTTTATTTCAATAAATTGTGTGGTCTGGAATATAAACTATCCTTCTTCAATTATGAGCTGTATCGGGTCTCCTAGGTCAGGCTTTGTGCTCTGGCTTAATATTTTTTCTCCAATATGTTCTTTGTCTTTGCGTCTCGTAAATTTTCGCTTCGGTTTTATTCGGTACGAGGGCTTGCAAAAAGTTCTTATTAATATTTCACGTTCGAAAAGAAGTTTGAAAAATTGGCGAAATGTTGGTATATAGCGGAGCTCGAGCCGATCGTAACAAATATTCTTGCAGACATGATGGACTGTGGGAGAAGCGATAGGGAGGCCACCTGACGCTCAACGTGGAAGCCTTTACAAGAAAACTTACGCTCCGATTCGTCTCTCCAATCCGATTGGCAACTAACGATCTCGATAGCTG